CCAAAGTAAAATAGAAAGACGTGACTCTAATGCTTCGTCTTCTCCAATCTCCTGAAAGTACATGTCTACTAATCCCCTGAAAATACAAGCAGTTTTGAAAGAATATCAGCATAAAGCTGGTGAGTTCATAAGCTTTTAGTTTTGGTGGAAAATGTTTCTTTGATCCTTTTGAAAAGTGTTCTTCAAGAAAATCCTGTATTTTCTTATGAAAAGCGTGTTTGAAACCCATTCCTTCCATGACTTCCCGATTCATACAAAGTATGTATAATCCAAGGAGTCGTGGAATGAATATGAATGTCTGTTAGTTACATGTAAAACAAACAAATATGTTTATGAAAAGTTGAGTTATCCTGGGAAAGTCCTATATTTTCCCTAAAAACAGGTTATCCGTCCTAGAGGTAGAGATGCAAGTTTAGAAATTCCTGATTACTATCAGTATATTTATGAAAGTAGTTTTATTACTCAAAATAAAACAATGGAGAGTAGAGTTTATCCTTCCTAGAGGTAGAGATGAAAGATTAGAAATTCTTGATTACTATCAGTGTATTTATGAAAGTAGTTTTATTACTCAAAATAAAACAATGGAGAGTAGAGTTTATCCTTCCTAGAGGTAGAGATGCAATATTAGAAATCCTTGATTACTATCAGTGTATTTATGAAAGTAGTTTTATTACTAAAAAAAACAATGAAGAGTAGAGTCTGAAAACCAAAGCTAGTTTATACTTATTTTGTGAGTCGTATAACCATACTTGATATGACCGAGAGACCTTTATAATGTTCTTCACGCGTTAAGCTAAATGTCATTTGTTCACCCCAGGCATGCCTGCCTAACTGTAGCTAGTAGTTCAGGTGTGGGATTGTCAGTCCCGCTCTCCCTTCAGGAGACTCTGGTTATACTAAAAGGATTTATCACTATACACCTAAGGGTACAATATTGAAGTAGCGCCTCACAATTCTGTATAATATAGTTTACTAGCGAGAAATCAATATGAAATAGTAATTATCCTTGAATAAATGTACTTTATACTCCTGAGAAAACATATGACACAAACTAAATCTGCCATAGTATATATATATATATATATATATATATATATATATATATATATATATATATATATATATATTCATTTACGAAATCTATTTAAGTAGAGACTGCCTAGATGGTTATCTTAAACTATACCCGTTATAGTTTATTAGAGTTGATATGGAAAATGCTTTGTAAAAATCTTTCTGAAAACTATGAAGTTAGATTTCCAAAATAGAAGTTTCCCTTATGCTCAACATATTACAAAAGAGATAAAATATCCGAATATGTTATTAAACGTGGAAATCGTTGGGTTGCATTAATAAGTTTAAAACTTAATAAAATACTTTGAGTTTAGCTTGTATTCCCCATGAAAACATTAAAAACACGGAAAATGTAGGGGTATGAACTCACTGTTTGACGGATGATTCGAGCGGATGATCGGTTATGAGTGTTGAGTGTCAATTGAGGTTTCGCACTCAAGTAGATCCTAGTAACATATAATAGCACATATATGTGTTAGATTTAGGTATTCCATGAGAAAACATGATGGGAAACCACCCTAAAGACTTGGAAATGCTTGTCGGGACCTTATGTGATCAAACAAAGGAGGTGTATGGTCATTAGGGTGTGTGTGCGGCCAGGGTGTACTGCCAGGCTGTGTGTGCGGTTGCACACAAGAGTGTGTGGTCGTACACATGAGTGTGTAGCCGTACACTCCTCATTTGTGCCCGAAATGTCGATTTTTAGGTGTTATAGTGCTAATACCGGGTTCTACTAGTGAATGAAGGCCAAACTCTTCACTTTGGAGAGCTTTTAAGGTGTGTACGGCCACCTTATGAAGGCGTGCAACCGTACACCTTCATGTGATGAAGAACATTATGAACTTTGATGGTTAAAGGATTAGATCAATGGGTCCTTCATGTATGATAAGCTAGGTGATCGAAAACTCACGTTTTTTAGGCCTTGAGAGCATTCTTGGATGAAGTTTTTAGAGAGAGAAAGTAGAGTGCAGCCAAATGAAAGGAATGAGTGAAGGGGTCACCCTATATAAATAGGGATGAATATCCTGTTGGAGGATGGGTGTGCGGCCACCCACTCGGGTGTGCGGCCATACACTCGGGTGTGCGGCCACACACTCGGGTGTGCGGCCACACACTCGGGTGTGCAGCCACACACTCATGTGTGCGGCCACACACTCATGTGTGCAGCCATTCACTCAGGTGTGCGGCCATAAACTCGTGTGTGCAGCCATACACTCGAGTGAGTGTATGGTCGCACACTCCTTTTGATGGAGTGTTTGGCCTATTTTCAACCCTAAATCTTAAACCAATCCAACCCAAATTCAAACTTTGGTTGTATTCAAGGCTTTAAGTGCTTAAATGAGCCCTTAATCAGTGTTAGGAGTTAACATAAATGAGTTTAACTTAGACTATTTGACTAGATGTACCGGGTAGAAGTTTTCGGGTTGTCACATCATCCCCTCGTTAGAGGGAATTTCGTCCCGAAATTCAAGAATAAGAATATAACTCATGGCCTTGGAAAAGATGGAGGTACTTAAGGTTCATGGGAATTGCAAATGTCTCATCGGACCGACACTTCTTTATATTCGATACGTGGGAGGCGGGATGGAATTTTCTAAGTTCTCGAGGTAACTGGAGTTCGTACGTTTACTAGACCGAACCTAGCAAGGATCTCGGATGATCCAATGTATCTTGGATTTAGCTTTCTACGCTTTTCGCAGTGTATCTGGCCTTTCTAGGGTGACATCTTCAAGGGACACGTCCACCAATTTCAATGCTCGAGAGGGTGCTGTTGGGGACTTAACTCTTGACTAGATACATGTCCACCAATTTCAGCCACAATAATAATGCAAATTAGAAGTATACATGAATGTTTACATAACACACATATGGAAAAAATGATTTAGGGAGGGATATCTCTGTTAATTAGCAAAAAAAACATAAAATCTTCGAATAATACACAAACGAGTTCTTGAAAATGTGAGGGTTTTTATAAACTACCTTTGAATATTTTGGGTTTTCCTTTCAAGTTACACATACTTTGATAGTAGTATATAACATTTTTTAACCTTCTCAAAGTTACATGAAGGGGGAATTTCATTTTTAGCTTAAACGGTAAAAAATTTAAACTCAAAAGTTAACCAAAATATTTCGGTTTGCACCACGCGCAATGTTATAGAATTTTATGTAAGTATAATAATATATAATTATGGTGAACTAAGTTTATTTATACGTAATAATGTATTGTTGATCTGCAAAAATGAATTGTTACATTTTTTTACAACCATACCTATATGAAAATGAATATACAAAAAAATTTAGAATAAACATTTTTTTAAAAAAATAATAAATTGTAAAAACAAAGAAATCTTTAAAAAAAAAAAAAAAAAAAAAACCTAGGCATCAAAACATCTATTTTTTAAAAAAATAAGTTGTAAAATGATAATTCTATAAATACAAATTTGTTAAAATCTATACTGTTAAATAAGATTTGAAAGAATTTGTAAGAAATATAATCTTCTAAATAAAAAACTATTAAAAAAAAATAAATAAAAAATAAAACAAAGTTTATAAAAAAAAGGTTGGTTGAATTTGTTAAAAAAAGTGTGGACAAAAAAAAACATGGGTCAAATTGTAAAAAGAAAAGGTTGAGAGATCATATATGAGCCTACATTTTGTATGGGTCGGATTTTGTGTTGAATGGGATGAACTTCTCGTAGATCTGAAGTAAGTCGGAGCTTTATGACCCTTATGACCCGCGTGCAAAAAAACAGCTACTATTAGGTTCGAACACGTGACAGAAATGTTAAATAAAAGAGATCATACGACTAAGACAACCATAGCTTATTGCTAATTTTAGTAAACAGTTTATAAAGTGACCATAGCCGGTTACAGTACACATGATTTCAATTGAAAATGATAATGTGTTTTGTGGTCACTCTTAAATCCACATGATTTCAATTGAAATGGAAATGTGGGTGACTTTGTATCGGTGACAAGAAATAATGATGGAATTTAATGCTAAGATGGATATTTGGAAGAAGTGGAAGAAAAATGATTACATCTTGTATCTTGGTATAGTAATGACATAATATTTTTAGTCCAATTTAGCAAGAATACTAACTAGGAGGGAATATAAGTTCGCATGTTGGACTAAGTATTATACCCAAAGGAGAGATCACGTACATGAGATATATGATCCACAAGTTAAGGATATAAAAGACGATGTTATCCATTGCACAAAAACAAGATGGTTGAAGTATTTAACAATTTTAGTGTAACTAGTTATTTAGTGTAATTAAAATTAACACTAGTCATAATAGGGAATTAAACAGTGATAAAAAAACAAGTTAGATGCTACAAAGTGTAAACTTGTTTAATAGACGCGTTTGATCCCGAGCATGACGAAAGACAATGGTTAAGGGGCCACACCACTTTGTGAGGTCACAACGCATCACCTATTGCAAGGTCAAAAGAGAAGAGCCCTTAGTTTTTAGGACACATTGAAATCTATTATGTGCATAAAACCTAAATTATCCTTAAGGGTTTATCCAATATTAAATTTCTTGAAACTTATACATAAGGTTGTCATATCAATTCGGGAAATGAATTTACACGAGTATCAAGATATCTAATCATTCTTTGATTATCAAACATCTTATTTCTACACCATTTTTTTCTACCATAAAATGGACGGAAACCACGTAAGTATTGTGCGACAAAAAGGCTATGTTGAAATTAATAGTAAAATTCTATAGTGTGTCAATTAATCCAACTATACGTTTTGTATGAATCTGTATGTTTATTGTTAAAAAAATGTGCTCGAAAGGAAGATAGGAATTACAAGAACAAGAATCCTACGATACACATACGGTATAACATGTTGGACATGATAGAAAATGCATTAATCATAAAGAAGTTGATATTCTAAAGTTGTTATAAGGGATGCTTCACAATTCAACTATGGTATCTTTATAAGTTCCAGGAATCACAGATGTCAACTTCTTCAAAAAATCATTATCATGGTCATTGGAGGAAGTTGGTGACACAGTAGCCACAACAACAAAATTACCTTGATTCCCAACATCTATTCCATAAACCGTATAAAAAGTATCCTTAAGATCTTTTACCAATGTCGTATAAAATAGTTCATTTAAAGGAACCACATTGATAATAAGGACACCACGATCATCAAGAAGTGATCTCGCAGCTTTAAAAACCGGTTTCTTAACAAATTCTGGTGGTGGAGCACTAATACCATTTTGAGCCTCATTTGAATCCAAATCAACCATAACTACATCAAATTTAGCATCTAGGACATCATTATTAACCTTTAAACCATCGCTGTCTCCTTTTATCTTTTGGGAAGGAAAGTTTTGTATCACTTCTATAGCATCTCCAACAATGAATCGAATAGAACCCGATTTATTAAACCCAAAATGCTTTGTTGCAGCAGTTAAAACAACCTTATCAGCCTCCACTCCAACAACATCAAAACCCAATTGAGTTTTCATGAAACTTAACAAAACACCACCACCAATCCCTAAACACAAAGCTCTTGGAGTAAACCCTTGTTGAATTCGCTCATTGAGATGTGAAGCAATCAAGAAAAGTCCAGCAACCATTGGAGGCAAGTATGGGTGAACCAAAACAGATGTATCAACGTCAAACTTTGCGTTTACTATCTTCCTCAAACTTTCCAAATCTACATGTGTTGTAGCTTCGTCATCGCTAATAACAGGTATAAGAGGGACCTGAGATTGTATCAAATTAGGCATTCTTTTAAACCTCAATCTCCTTCGGAGCATTTTACTTCTATCACGATTACCCTCCAGTTCAACATCTTCAACGACAAATTCACCAACAATGGGACCTACAAATTTAGCTATAGTCACACGATACACGACATCATCTTCGTATGTCAAGATTATGGTTTCTGGCAAACGACGATGAAAACTCACTTTGGGATGCAAAGCCATGAGTAATGGTTTCAATTCGTTTTCTAGTCTTTGTTTCTCCAAAGGACCAGTAACTTGAGGGCGAATATAAATGGAGGGTTCTGGATTAGGTGGGGGATTATTACCGATTAGGATAAGGCGGGAGACGTTGTGGGAGTCGTATAGGAGCTGAAGATGTCCGGATTCTGTACAAAAATTCCAGTCTGTTTCCCGGTGATTAGGTACAATCATGGCGGCGATTAAGGGGACCTCATCGTCAGCGGTGGCTATCGGAGAATCGAGTACGGCGACGCGGATCACTAGAGCGTGGAGCAACCGGCGGTGGTTAAGCGGGTTTGGCATTGTGAAGGTGATGAATTGTGATGGGGTGATGGTTTCGAATACCCATGGTTCGATAACATTAAAAGGTTGAAATGACATTACCATTGTTGATGAGAAGATTGGAAGCTAGTTGCATGAATCGAGGTTGTCGATGATTGTTTTGAAGATTATACAGAAGCATACTTTTGATTTCAAATATCATAATATCTGGAATTTCCATCACTCGTGCGACTATAGCGGCGTAGCGTTCTAATCACAAAAACTAAACGAGTTGAATCTTTATAAGTTTTAAGTTACAACCACATTATTGTTATTGAATGTTCGTTTCTTAATTTTTTTTTTCTAACTCTGAACATCCCTATAGTTTATCTTTGTCACGGATTTAGCCCCTGATTAACGTAAAATGACCCGATTACCCTCATTGGAGATTATTTATACTTTTTTTAGTTTTTATTATTTATTTATTCTTTTATTATAAATTTAATTAAAAGACCATCAGTACAATGAGTTTGAATCTTATGTACAACAACCTACTCCTTCTCATCCCCTTTTTTCTCCGGCCAAAACATCGCCTTCCTCTTCGCCTGCCTCCTTCGTTGTTCCGGCGAGCAACGTAACCAAGCTCGTAACCACTAATAATCAATTTTGTGAAAAAGCAAAAAACCAAAACCAATATCTTATGAAACTGAAATCTCAAAACCAGGAAACCCGATGAAATAGAAATCATAAAAGAACACACAAAATCTAATGAAAATAAATTACATTCCAACCGATGAATTCATTGTTCCAGATTTTAAACCTTATGTCGTCTTATCCAACAAAATCCTATAAAAAAAAGCTTTTCATACATTTGGATATATGTTTATACCAACATGGTCTGATATTACATGTTTTCATAAGCATGTTTAAGAAATTAACAAACAAGCATCCAATAGAGTCCAAATGTGAAGAAAGAAGCGCGAGTGAACTTTTTGACGGACCCACAAGATGGAAGGTTCACACTTAGACCGGCTAACATTTTGGTCTGTAGATAGATAGGAGGGAAGCATGCGTGCATGGATCTTACTGGGGTCTCTCATCTCGTTGGTTTGGGGAGCGGGAGTTTCACAACTGGATATGCCGCATTGAAAGTCGTTGCATGCAAAGTGGTAAAGCACGAGTGATATTTACATACTTAGCCATATATTTAGCATATATTTTTATTCATTTTTAGCTAATTATGTGCATAATATGGACAAAAGGTACTTAATAATACTTAAATTGTGTTTTCAGTCCAAAAGACATCTTTGGAAGCAAAAAGGAATAAGGGGAAGCGATTAGAGACCAAAGAATGAAGAAAAAGGAAAAACCACACACCTACTCGACAAATCCACGCACCAACTCGACGAGTTCATAAGAATGTTCCTGAAGAAAAGTCAAAAATCATTGTCGTACACGGATTTCATACACCTACTCGGCGAGTCAACGACCTACTTGCCGAGTAGCCCCTGTTTTGTGATAACTATAAATATGGAGTCTTAATCCGAATTAAAGACTTTTCTGGATTCCTTGGAGATAGAGCTACGACTGGAGAAACCCTTGAAGACCTGAAGAACCCTAATCTTTGTTCTTTTGAAGTTTGGAAGCGAATTAGGTTATATTTTCCACTTAATCTTAGGATTGAATTATATTTAGCTTAATCAAATTCGTTTTTGAGCTTGTTTTCCTTGTAATCATGAGCGAAAATTCGGATGGTTTCTGTTTAGGAAGAACTAAATTACTTCTATGGTTTAATTAATACTTTTGTTGATTGTTTATTGGTGATTTTATTAAATTAAGTTTGTCAAAGAACCTTATGCATTAACTACAACTATTTTCTGTTAATTTGTGACATCCCCAAAATCTCGGTCAGAAAAGACCGATTTTCATTTATGCTTTTAAAATAATCTCAGAGTAAATCCTTTTGATTTGAAAGAGTTGTGGAATTTATTTCCAAAAACAAAGTATGATAAAATAATGTTTAACAAAGCATTTCATAAAGAAATGTATTTTCATTATATAATCAAAACTCGGGATGTCAAGTTCTGATACAGACCATAAAGCATAAACGATAACATTACAAGTCATTCAACAAATATATACACATACAGACTTGTAAACAAAACAACTTGATGATTCATCCATCTTATGCCCTTGCGCCACTTCGTGTAATACAAATAAAACTGAGTGGGTCAGGCTTGGGAGCCTGGTGAGCATATAGGGTTTTCAACTTACAATAAATAATTATATTTAATTCCACCAACCAACAATAACCCAATTACCCATTCCCATTATTCTCACTTTACGTCCCTAAAACAACTAACACAAGGGACCTAGTCTTAGAATATTTCATCGGGGTGACAACACATGCATTCGGGGGTTTCCCGGCAATATATGTCAAATAAGGCAACCATGAGGGGGATGGAGTACAGCGAATGAACACTCAAGTTCATTAACACCTACAGGTGGCGAACCTGCTAGCGTTCCATAGGATTGTCTAGAAAATTCTGTGGTCGTCATCTAAACTCCGCTAGATGACTGAATCAAAAACAACATCGAGGCCTCTCATCTGTTTATCACACAACTATCTACCCATGTTCTACCAGAACATATTAGTAGATAAAAATATATATTTTTATACATAGTTTAAAATCTGTATAACATTCTCATTCAATACATATTCCAAACAACAGATGAGACACATACACATAACACGTATTTCATAGAGAATAAATCATATCTATGAGATAGAAGAAAGTGAATATGCATTCACACATATAACACAAAATATACACATTACACATATTTCGTATAAAATACTTCATAATTATGCATTAGAAGAAAGTAACCACACACTCACTTGATCAGAAGATGATCGGACAGCACTACGACTTGTAGAAGTAGTATTCTTCGGCAGATCTGGAAGATCTTCACGAAAGCCGGACTCCTCGCGGGCAGAGCTTCGGCTCGGGAATCGCACTTCTCGGGATCTTCGGGGCTTCGGGATAATTCTTGCACGAAAAACGATGCAAAAACGCGAGAAAAGGGGAAGAAATGAGCAAACAACTCGGTTGCCCTCGACATCCTTTTATAGGGGCTGGAACATCGAATTACGTTGGGCGTAATGAGGATAGGGTCGCTGACTCCCCCATGGATAATATCGGTTAATATATATTTAAACTAAATATCGAAAATATTTAATAAACTTCATAAATTCATATCTTCCTCATACTGTAACACCGTAAATTTCAAGACAAAATTTTCATTTAAAATAATCATTTTACTCTTAGAAACACTTGTTTAAAATCTTATTCATAGTCGATTTACAAAACATAACTCCATTTTCACTTGCATAGAAAACCAAGATCCTCAAAAATATGACTCTTTCTCTGGTGTGTACAATCAAGCCGGTGCCGTCCCGTGATACTGAAAGAAACCTGTAAAACATCAAACAAAACACTGTAAGCACGAAGCTTAGTGAGTTCCCCAAAATACCACACATAACACATATTAGCCACTCGAGGCTATAACTCTGTGGGTCCGTGCACCCAAACTCTGTGAACCCTCAGGTTCTAACTCTGGGAACCTTCCGGTTCCAACTCTATAAACATGCACAACATAAATCACATAGAAATAATGCAGTACAACACATCACGTACATATAGCATACAAATACTCTAATCACATAACTCTGGTTACCTACTCAAGGTAAAGTATAGTGAGAAGACTCACCTGGCAAGCAGAAAGCAGATATCCCCACACTTGAATCTCGAACTCGCCACCGCCTAACACGTAAGGCAAATACTCTCATGAATATAACTCTCGAGGCTAGAATAAATCCTCTCATAACACCCTCTTATGGGTAAAAGACTATTTTACCTCTCTCTTGGCCCAAAGGCCACATCGCTGTCCAAACCCTAAAACTCAACGGCCAACCCTTGGTCGAAATCAAAGTCCTCAGTCTAGGTCAACCCTTGACTGACTCTACTCGCCGAGTCAACCCTGTGACTCGTCGAGTTCCCATAATCAGAACTTCCCCATATCGCGACTCAACTCGTCGAGTCACCACGAGACTCGCCGAGTCCCACAACTCTGAGTCCACTCACACCCAACTCACCGAGTCATCCCTTGACTCACCGATTCTCGACTCAACCAGGAAATATTTGGGACTCTTCGTCAAGACTCGTCGAGTCCAAGAACAGACTCGCCGAGTCTACGGCTATCTTCAACCTACTCGCCGAGTTGTTCATACAACTCGCCGAGTTCCAGGCCATCTTCATCCAACTCGTCGAGTCCACCCATGTGACTCGCCGAGTACCGCCGGTCTGAATACATTCCGAAGCATTCCAGGCCATGCAACTGCTCCAAGACATAGATCTAGCCTCCTACCACTCATCCATCACGTAAAGTGGCAAACTTTACGTGAATCCAAAGAGATCTAAGCCGTTTGCACATTGGGGCTAGGGTTTGGGACATGCAAGCTTCACTAAACACTCCAACACAGGGACTTTCATGCTCTCTGATTCTTCTCCCTTCCAGATCTGAGGTAGCAACCTCAGATCTAACCTCTAGACTTCCCATTTCATCCATAGACAATTTCTCACAAACCCCAAAATGAAGAAACAACATAATCAACAGGTCAAAAACGAGATACTACCTCTAAGTGATGCCCCAACTGCAATGCAATTCGAATCCAAGCAAAGCCCCTTGCTCCAAGCCTTCAATCTTCCCAAAATTCCTTCAACCATTACTTCTCCAAGCTCCAATCCACTCAAAAATGGTGCTTCTCCGCGATTTAGGGTTTTCTGGGGCTCAAGGGGTGATAAAGAGGCTGGGAGGAAGACATAATGATCATTATATAAGGCTCAACCCCGAGAATTAGGGTTTTCTCCACTCAGCGCCTACTCGCCGAGTCCAATACACTGACTCGCCGAGTCGGCCACTTAACACGCGACCAAGTCGCGACTCTACTCGCCGAGTCCACACATGGACTCGCCGAGTCGCTCTTTCCCAATTTACTCTTTTAGCCCTTCAACTCTACTCTTGATATTTCGGGATGTTACAATTCTCCCCCACTTAAATTAGGC